ATATATATTTGAAGAAAGGGGGAGAGATCTAATTAGAAATTGCGTCACTTTGTCCTGCTACCTTACCTGCACAACTTTTAATGCATCACCTGATAATGTTTGGGTGTCAACTGCCTAGGACAAAGCTTTTGATAGCAACAGGTGGCAAAGAGCTGAAGAAGGTCAGAACACCCAGTCATCTAACTGTCAGGTAGACTGAGCACAGAAGGCATCTCCTCCTCATATTACAGGCAATCAAAAGAACCAGAGACTGAGCTCAGCAGCTGTCAGTCTCTATCTTTAGCATGTCCACATTTTGTTTCTCCTAGAAATATTTCTTTTTTTTCCCTAAGATTTCTTTTTAATTAAGTGACTTACCAAGGACGGTGAGTGTGAGCAGGAGATTCTTGAACAATTTGGAGCAGATTTTGGCACATTTCGATTGCGGCCTGGCCTCAATGGGCTCCAGGTGGCTCTCGTGCATCCTCACCTCAACTTGTTTAGGCATACTGTTGGCACTGTGACAGAGAGAAAACACACAGAGAAGCCACTTACTAAATGTCAAGCCATATAGCCAAAACACATAAACAAAAATGTATACATACATATATATACATTAACATACATTATATATACCTTAACATACATTATATATACATTGCATTCATATGCGGCCACAGGCAGACACTGCTAGAAGGAAAGGGGCTCACTTAACTATAAGAGTGGCAGGCTGCAGAGAAAAAACAATTGTGTATAATGCCCTAAAACCTGTACAGAGTTAAAATGAAAATAGCACAAAATAAAAAATGTGAAGCATTAAAGTGTTGCCAAGCTGTCAGTCCAACACTTACCATGGTTACTATAGCATCCAACAGATGGAGGCTGATTACAAGCTGCTGCTTAGAAAATTTCATTCCTTTGGGGCAATTCCAAAGAACACAGATAAAGTATCAGTGTTCTTTGAAATATTATCATATATTATATGATAATATATTATCATATATACATTTAATTGATATCCTGGTACACAACTGTGTGTTGGTTTGATGCTTTCAATTAAACTTATCTAAATTTGACATTTCAGAAAAAAAATGCACAATCCAAACTATTTCATATTGAAAGGATACAGAGTTATTGCAATGTGCCTGCCTTCAAGCACTGACAATATGGTGGTTCTAAATTAAGACAAGCCGCCATTTCACCCTAATCTATATGATATGGACCCAAAATTTGCTTGCAGGCAAATACAATCACTGAAAACCATTCATGTGATTATTTTAAAAAGGCTTGTGAGTGTATGCACTTTGATGAAAAGTCACCTGGAAATTAAAATTAAAAGAAGCAGTCTCCTGTAGGTCCACTGACTTGTGAATAAGTCTGTTATGCTGTGAAATGCCAGCTGCCAGTTTGTTAGGTGTAAAATACAGCTAAATAAAATGACAGAAAAGGAGGAGTCTTGGCAGCCACTTTGGTCATGAATTTTATTTATCCTCAGAGGACTCCCCTGTAGTTCACTACGAAGTTTAAGATAAGAATCATTTTGGTTGATCGTTGTCTTTTTTCCCCAAAACTTTGTCAAAGGAAAAACAAAGATCAAAAGATAGAAAGATCTCTCATACACAAAGGCTCTTTGTGACACTCTGTGTGGTCACTGATAATTCCCTATGACTATACCACACACAAGCTCTAACACTGATTCCTCCAACTTTTTGTACTACAGCATGGAGAGCTTGGCTATAGGATAACCACCTGGTCAGCTTCCAGGCATACAGATGGACCTGCCTCATCTATCCTTATTAATTTCTAAGTGAGGTGTGACATACAGAAAATACATGCAGGAAAATAATTAACCTCGTCATCTTTGTTATTTCACACGTTGCATTAAAGCTAAAGGATGCCAGAAATACAGTCCTGAATAATTAGCTTCACAAAGCATTAGGATTTCCACACAGTAAGACGGATGAGTGGCGCTAATTGAAAGTTCTGTGGGACATTATTTTTAGCTCGAAGAGAGGAAGTGGGCACTATTTTGTCATGATCCTCTCATTAGCACCTCTTCCACCAAGTCAGAGACAGATGAGATGGCAGGTCTGAATAGATGAATATGTAAAAGTACAGCTGCTGCACTATTTGCATTATTTAGCATCACTTCACAGCTGAGGCAAAAAGAAGTGTAGGCTTTTCATGTTACAGGGTACATTTTCATGTAGTACATAACTTTGGCTTTGATGAACATTTCATGGGCTTGGAATTAATGCTGATCCCTGACAAAAAGCATAATGACGCCTGAAAGTTTTCCAAATCCGTGGAGTCTGGGTGCATCTTTTAGAAAAAGTGAATGCAAATAAATGGCACTGAGTAGTTCATGGCGTCTTGTAAAGTATGTCTTTGACTATAATCATATTTGACAGACATGTTCAAAGTCATTATTCAGCCCACTTCAGCTATTCTAATCACTCACTCCCAGCATATCGTCTGCTCATACTTTAATAGGATCATCTCTTCAAACCGATTATCCCTGGCAAAGTGTATTACCAGCTCTTAACGTCATAAAGAATTAAAGGACATGTGCAACTACAGGTAGCATTGATCTAATCTAAACATTTTTACTGCCCTCGTCACCTTGACTTTAAAAAACATAAACCCTATTTTTCTTGATACAAAACATTTTAATGCTGCACACCTAAAACAGAACTAAATATGAAAGTGACATATAAATGCGATATGTGACACTCTGTGCCACAAACTGTAAATATACGTGGTACTTACTTCATTTCTGGTGGCGTAGAGGTAATTGCAATATACATTGACCGGGATCAGATCTCGGCTTTGGTATCTAAGAGCGGATCAGCACATGAGAGAGTCAGCGGGATCACAATTGCTCCATCCAAAAAAGTCACCAGGTGTTAGCAGATAAGATTCCAGCCTCTGTAAACACCAGAGCTCTACTGACAGCTAACCGCTCTCAGCTTCCCACCAACTCATTCAAAGCATCCAAAGAAGGGCAAGTCAAAGTAGTCCAGACTCCAGACCCAGTCACAGCCCCATCAACCTAAACTGTCCCATTCTGCCGTCTGCAAAAAAAAGCAACCTCTCAGCCCCCACCCCCTGACCACTCACCAGCACACTTGTGCACACACATCAAACAAACCTTGGAGTAAATAAATTACTAAGCACAAATAAATTACTAAGCACAAGTGGAGGGAGGGGGAACTATATGAGCTTAATTGTCAAATCCCTCAGAGACCCTCCATTCCCCGAACTCTGTAATCCTCAATAGAGTACTCTTCCATACTTTTCCAGCTTCTAAAGTTTGCATTAGAGATGGCAGGATGGTAGGCATATGTGTGACAATGTCTACTAATGGCAAAATATGGACAAGGGAGCTTTGTGAGCTGTGATTTTTACTAAAGGAAAGACGAATGATGGACAAAAGAATTATGTATCGAAAAATAACGTTGGATTTTTGTAGCTTTGAGATCTTGGTGGAAAGCACATACATTTCATATGCAAAGATCCACAACATGAAGGCCTCACACATGTTCGGTTCATTCACACACTCCAACATGCAGATATAAATAATCCTGCTATTAGATGAAGCCACTGTGCTGGACAGCAAAATACAAATGACCTGTGTGATGTGATTCCTGTGAGGATGGTGCCACACTGATTTTCTCCAAGTCTCCCAGCAGCATGGGATCTCACATCGTATTGAGCCCATTATTCTAATTAGGGAAATGTGTTGGAAAGCTATTTCCTCCTCAAACAAATGACCAATTGCACAACAAAAGCTGGAGAAAATGCCTTCTCTGATTGCAACGCTTCTGTCATGAGAAATGCCTCATCTTAAATCCCTTGACATGTCATACTCATTCAGGGAGTTTTCTGAGGGAAAGGGGAGCATTTTTTCGAGATGAGAGTAAGGGGAGCCGGACAGAGAAGAAGGGGTTACAGAAGGGAGTAAGAGGGACACTATGGGATAATGGGGGGACTGGGGTCACACCGGCACCTCTCAGCCAAAAGAGGGGCCTTTGAGGGGGAAAGTTGAGGCAGCCATCCCTACTCTTGGCTGGTACCATGTGAAGCTCTCTGCTTCCTCTCTCTTCCTTCTGAGGGGCTTTGTTTCACACGCAAACAGTGGCAGTGGCCCCTGCTCGCTCGGCCAAGCGCTGCATCCAAACTGGCAGCGGCGAGAAAAGACGGGAGGGGGCTCGGACGGGAAGGGGGAGCGAGGGTATAGCGAGGTGGGGAGGGCAGTGGGCATGTCCAGAATGCCAGCTCTTTCAGGCCACTGATGTCATGCCTGTGCCCACCGTGGGAGAGCATTGGAGGGACCAAAGCGCCCCTTTCTCTCCCCCCTACCACAGTCTCTTTTTTTACAGGATGAATGAATCTTTCAGAAGCGGCAGCCCATTGTGTCCCATAATCGACGGCGATTATCCCAATTTTATGCAGCCTTCTCAGTGCGAGGAGGTTCCCTGAGTGCTGGTATTGAGGGTCGCTGCCATGCTGCAAGGACCACGAGGGGTTGTCCTAGCAACACTCTGTGGCTTAGAGAAGGAGCTGAAGAGGAAGGAGGAAACCCGCAGCCACACACATACCCAGAGCACAAACACGGCCTACAAAAACTCGGGCAGATGATATATGGCTTGACAGATTGGCAAACATGTATTTTATCTTTACCTCACTGAAAAATGTTTCACTGAACAGACAAAAAAAAAAGAAAAGCAAAACACTTGACATCTTTGAAATAGCTTACTTGGCATGAGATACTGTCCCACACTTTGCCATACTGTATAAATGACCTGTCAATATCAGGTGATTAGATAATAATCAACAACTCTAAATTACAGGGTGGTTGTGTGTTTATACTGGTCTAATTATTGAGTTAAGTCCATGTGATAGCAGATATGGACATGCAAATGAGAATACCAGTTTCCCACTGGTCTCTCGAGGGGCCCGATGCCCGTTCTCATGATTGGTGCATCACAATATACCGTGAGGTAAAGACAACTGGATCTGGGCCAGGGACCGGATATATCTGGCCCCTTTGGGCCTCACAGCCACTTGCATTACAGTGGGAAGAAACAGACCCACACATAGAAGCGGTCCAGGAGTTGTGAGCTTCACCAACAGTTCTTCCTCAAAGAAAAAAAAAAAAGAGAGAGAAAAGACACAGAAAGAAATCCCTCAGCAAACACTTCAGGTCACGCTCTGAATAGGAAGTGGGAGATAAATTCTAGCATCTGTAAAAAAAAAAAAAAAGGAAGGAAAGCTTTTTAAGTGTACACCCATAAACGATGTATTCTTGGACGGTTGTGGGGAAGAATTCCTCCTGTGACAGACACACTCCCTTAGGCAGAGATGGCTAGGTGACCATAGCATGAAGTTTTGGCGGAGGATGGGAAAGCAAGATAAAAAATTACTCCACTATCTTCACTCAAATTTCCGTCAAGTTAAACTAAAAAGTGTCTCCGTGTGCACAAATGTATATGTGTCTTCATATATCTGTAACTGTCTAGAGGACTTTAATCAATTTGTCAACATGCCTATCAGCTCCCAGCATCAGTGAGCCTTAAGCCTGTATCATTTGGTAACTCCAACAGAGGATGCGTGGAGTTACTCAGTGGTATTTTTTAATGCTCTTTTGAACCACTTCCAAGTGGACCCTGGAGTGAGAGTAAAATCTGATCAAAGACTGGCCCAGAGCCAGAGAAACTCCACAAGTAATGAAACCGAATTTTCCTGACAATCACCCAACTCAGTTTCACACCAACACCTCTCAGGCTGAATGGAATAACCAACCGGTGAATGTCGAGCAAGTGATGTGTTCATTTTTGGTGCTTTGCATTGTTTTACAAATTAGATGATAAAAACATGCTGTTAATACTGTCAGGTAGTGTTTTTGAAAAATAGTTCAGTGCATGTGGAACTGAACTTAGATACTCTGAACAAATATTTATTTCTATTTCTACTATTTTTCAATTAACTTCTGAGTTAATTTCCCTTTGATTATACGCTGACCTAATAACACATTTAAAAAGTGCCCATCTGTTGTTTTCCCAGCTGATTCATTTAATTGGTGATGAAAATTTGTGTTAAACGCAAATCATCAAAGAAAATAGTAGGCAGACAGATTTTTCCTAATTTGTTCTTTAGTTCCATTTTGCTCCGTTGGACTTCTGGTATAACCCCAGGCATAGTAATTATAACATGATGACTATCCAGACTTGTTTTAGGCACTGTATGACCTGCTGTTACCACAGCTGACAGATGTTTTGATGCATTAACAACAAAGGCACTACAGTTACCAGGCCTCATCAAAAGTCAAACTATTATCTTCAATACAGACTACCTTATAATGTAGTTTATTTAAATGTCCATCCATCCATCCATTATCAATACCGCTTATTCCCTCAAGGAAATTTTACATAATGTCAGAGTCCTTTGGAGTCTTTTGGAGACTGCTTTACAAATAATTACAATTCTCCTTTTCAGGTACTCTCCTCCAGGAGTAGTAATTTGCTATGTTCTATTACTCCTCATGAAATAGCACTATTGGAGTCATTTCAACACTTTCAACACATTTTCTGTTTCTTCCATTATATTTTACAATCGGGGTGTATCACCATTCTGGCAGTGAATAAATAAACTATGCGTGCCCATCCGTCAGCAAACTCTCAGACATCTTTTGTTTAGCTCAACTCTTTGTGTCTATAATGAGGTGGTCATTAGAGGGAGTCTCTGTGAATCCTAAGGCTAGTGTGCTAGTGCTCTGCATAGGTCTCTCAGATGTGCCCAGTCCCACTGTAATTATGTCCTCACGGTTTATTATGCCGGGGCGTTGTCACAAAACTGAATAAATTAATTCCAATTAATCTGGAGTTTATCTGAGATAAACTTGTCTTTTTGGCAACTAATTAAAACAAAACTGCCGCAACTGTTGTGGCTTCATGGCTCTCACCATATATACTTCAAACATCTTTAATTTCTAACAAAAAAAAACATCTGCTATTCATATTCTTTGGCACAGTTTTTATAATCTTAACTCCGTCATGTTTTAAGAGTCTTAACTGTGATCTCCTCTATGTTTTGAGCTGGGTCTTTCTAAGCTGGAGCAAAAGGGGTTTTATTACTGCTCATCCACCATCCCCTATGCCCTGCCCCCATCACATCCATACAGCTGCCAAGATGAAAGATCTGAGAAGAGAGCAGGGTCCAGTGCAGGTGTGAGATTTTCCCACTGTACCTTGACCAACCTTCTCCATCAGATGATGGTTTCCACGCCCATTGCAAACACATTTGTCTCTCTTTTTTCTCTACCTATGGCTGTTCCTGTGCTCTTGCCCACTGTGTATGAAGCAAGCTCCAGCACTATCATTAGCACAGGCGCATCTGTTTAACAGAACTTGCTGTACAGCAGCACGCTTTTGATGGCGTGGGTCCGATCCCCATAGGAGCTCATTAAATCAGCCAGTAAGGAAAGACCACCCTACCCCCTACTACAACGACCACTATGGTACTGTATACCCGTTACGATGCTGGGTAGTGAACAACAGGGAGGGGCGAGCGCAGTGAAACAGTAAGAAAGTCATATACGGATAGATAAGCACTGATGTACAGGGGGAGGGTGAAGGGAAAACGGTGGAAAAGAAAAGGCGTGACCATTGATGAAGAAGAATGGAATTGCAAACTGATGAGGAAATAAGCAAGGGTGGATTGAGGGGATTAAACAAAGGTCAGATGAAGGGCTTCATATTGTCAAGTTATCTGT